TTCTTACAAGTATTTCCACTGCCTCTTTGTGAGGGTTCTTTGGCATTTTGATTCCTGAATGCCTGATGGTTCCATAGCCCTAGGATGACGTCTTTGTTTTGCCCCAAATCTCTTTTCCTGAGAAGAAATGCTGCAATGTTTTGTGATGTGGAATGTGTTTCAGCAATGTAGGCAATAAAGGTTTAGGATAAATTGTTTGTTATGAAGACATTGAAGGGAAAAAACCTATACAGTGAATTATGGAAGTAGAGCACTAGCAATAATTCTGCTTTGGGTGTGAGAGATAATGGCCTGTGTTTTGGTGGCAATAAAAATGTTCTATTAAGTTCTCTGAACCCAGTGCAATGTGATAGAAAACAGCAAATGATGAAACAGTGCTATAAGGGGAGCTTACACATCCAGCAAGCATAAAATAAACATATTAAAATAGAAAAAACCCTCTGATTTCCAGTACTTATTGTTTTATCATTTCCATCATGGGTATAGGATAAAAGAAAACTCTTACTTGCTTGTTAGAAGAAGAAAGCTCCTACTTGAAGTTCTTACTTGGCAGATGTCAGTTGAAAGCTCTGCTAAGGAATATGCTGCAATGTCAAACTCTGTTGGGTAATTTTAGACAAATGTGTCATGTGTGACATGGAAATATGGCATGCTGTACATTAGTGATTTCCCAAGTGTTTGGATCAGGTAGTAATGTGCTGAGAAAGTGCTCTTTATCTCTCCACACTGTGTACTTGTATAGCAGTGGGGAAAGGCTTTTGGTAGAAATTACTTTAGTCAGAAAAAGAATCCATTTACAATATGTGCCTTCTAACATCTTTCAGACAATGCATTGTATTAAAGAGGCATTTTTTGATTAATGTTTTATAAACATTTTTCAGCATGACAGCTTAAAGTCCCTGTAAAATTGTAAATGCGTGCATAGTGCTCACTTCCATAAAGTCAAATGCCATCTCATAAAGTCTAGTTGGATCCTGTCAGTGACAGTGACACAGAATCAGTACCTTGGAGCATTAAAATTAATTTGCTTCATTTATATTACTGCAGTGATAGCTAGATGAAAAGAGTCCTATATTTAAATTATCTTAAAAATACCTTCAAATCTTTTAGGGTTTTTTATTATTTTTATTTTACAGTTAACTAAATGTAGTGAAGCACAGCATAATATTTTCATGGGCCTTTTAGGAAATGTGAGGATGTGGGAGGCTATACTGGGTGCAGACTGGGGGAAGGATTAAATAGCTTTCAGTTGAGCAGATTATTAGAGAAGCTGTGTCCTTTGGCCAGGGCTGATAACCTACAGCCTTGGAGCCAAACTGGAACACCCTGGAGTGATGGAGAGCAAAGAGGGCTTTCCTATTTCCTAGAGCAGTCCTCTCACCTTTCCCTGCTGCTGTTGAAGGTCATGGATAAACAGTGTTTCCCTTCTTTCCTCAGGTTTGCAAAGTGCTTAATGTGGAAAAAGAAGAGCTGAGTGAGGGACACAAAAAAGGGAGAAAAATGAAATGTGCTCCCTGTCACAGGCCTGTCTTCTTCTCTCAGCTGCAGTGGGACTGTGATGTTGGTGCCCCTACCCTTAGTGGAGCTGAGTGATTTTAGTGGAAGTACCCAAAACTTAGATGGCTGAAAGGAATAGAATCAAAGGTCTTGAGAAGCAAACCCTCAGAGGCTGGAAGCATGGGAGAGGAGGAGGGGAAAGGAGGAAGGGAGAAAATACAAAGAGAAAAAGAGCCTCTGAATACCAGGGCCTAAGAACAAGGAGGAAGATGGGAACACTGGTAGGAGAAACATTCCCAAACAAAGGGAAAGAAGGAAATTTGAGGTAAAGAGCTGGGAGTACCAATGATCTTGTTTGAAAGGGATACCTGTAGAAAAATCTTTGGGTTTTCTCCCTTCTGCTGCAGCTCTGTGTAGTTCTAGATAGATGAGGTTCTGCTGTCCCACCTCACCCCTTTCTTGGAGGAGGATGGGATGCTTGTTAAAGCCCCACTTTGAGCAAAGCTGAGCAGCTTAGCACCAAAGCACAGAAGAGAACTTTGTTATTCAGGTCTCATGAGATTTAGTGAGTGAGAGTCTGGCAGAGAGTTGAACCAGGTTGCTGGAAGCTTGTAACTCCATAAACCACAGCAGCATGAATGAGTGTTTGTGGCATGAAGCTTCAGTGTTTGTTTTTTTCCCAAGTGTTTATGTCTGTATATTTATATACATATATATATGAGAAAAATGTAGTTGTTTTAGTGTTTCTTTTTAAAAGAGGTAAAAGTAACTATTAGGGCATGTTTTTCCTAATTAGGTATTTGCATGGGTTTTATATGTTTGGAAAACATTAGCAGTCATACTGATCCTTGCATCTACTACATATTGCTACTAAAAAGTTTAGATGGCATTTTAAAAACTAAATAAAACTCACGCTGTTTAGTTTAGCCGTGTGGTAATGTTACTGACACGAGCGTTTGTGACTACACTGTGGGGATCTCTGTCACGAAATATTTTCTGAGAGAGTTGCATACTGGCAAAGTTGGAATTATAGAGATCAGAAAGTTCATAAAGGCAACAAGGTTGGGGTTTTTTTCTTTCCATTGGACTAATTCTTACCAGCAAAAATGATTATTATTACTTCTTTTCACCAGTTAGCATTTCCTGGTAAATAATAGGAACTTTAATTGCACATGAGTAGCTTCCAGGAACCTGTTGTTGTGACATGTATTTAAACAAGCTGTGAATTAAGAACCTCATTCTACCCAGTGATCTAATTATATTGTCACGCTAATTATAGTATTTTGTATTTATTTTTGACAACTTTCTTTTCCTAGTTTACAGAAATAGTTTTCCTCTAGAGAATTTACCTTTCAGGCTGGAATTTCTTATATTTCTTTCAGAAAATATACAGTAGTGTAAAGCCTACCTCAGTCATTTTGGATGTATTCTGTTCATGTCTCTGACATTAGTTTCTGTGTGATCTTAGGCTAGTCATTGTAGTGTTTCTGATTCTCTGTAGGAGCCCTCTTCAGCTTTCTAAAATATTTTTGGATCTGTGGATGAAATTGCACTACCAAAACACCAGGTACTGTCTTACAAACAGAAATACAGCATGTTCATAGTCTGAGACTCTAGTGTATTTTTCTATGATTAGAAAACAGAAAAGGACCCACGAGTGTCAATTTGAGATGTGGAAACTGGCAATAAAACCTTTATCTGTTTGCAAAAACAGTGTGATGGGCATTTGGGGTAAATTACATGCCCTAATATGATGAAAATGCCCATTTAATTTCTGTCTAAATGCTATTTATTCCCAAGCCACAGAAATTAGTCTTAATAATAAGCAATTGTATGATATGTCTATGATGTTGTTTTGAAGGTAATTATAATTCTGAAATAAAGCATGCAAGCTTTTATTTATTTGATTTAATCCATCCCTTCAAATACACACATAGGTAAAGGTTACTAGCACAGGCATGAGATTTTTAGTGGTGTAATGTGATGAAGCTAATAATAATAATTACAAGAAATGGTGCTGTGATAACATGAAGATTTCAGCAAGCCTACACAGGTGTCAACAATAGTGAGGCACTGGTGAAGTGGTAATATTCAACAAATAAGCTGTTTGCTCACATAGGGAGGCATCAGCTTTATTAAAGGAAACCTGAAATGGTGTTGAGAATGGGAGTTTATCCAAGATGTAATGAAAAGTTTCCGTAAATATGACAGCTTTTTTGATCTGAAACATCTCCTCCTGGGGAAATGGAGGGTATGTGGCACAAAGCTCAGTGTTTTGTCATTACTGAGAAAGGAGACAAGGCAGAGCCAGGGTGGATGGGGATTGGAGCAGCCTGGTCTGGTGGAAGGTGTCCCTGTGGCCAGGGGCTGGAACAAGATGGGCTTTGAGGTCCCTCCCAACCCAACCCACTCTGTGATTCTATGAGACACTTGGATGAGCTGTGAAAACTGTGTGTAGTCTGCTTCACTTCAAGGTTGATGCCAGCAAAGGATTCCTAGAGTGACATTTAAGATGAGAGAGAAAATAAGGTGCATTCTCAGGAGGCTCCTGTGGAATCACAGCTGCTCTTGTTGGAAGCTGTGCAAATATCTGGGCAGGCAAGACAGAGCTGGTTGCAGGTTTTGCCCACACCTGCACTTTGTGGAGCATGGTAGCAAAGTTCCAAGATTTAAGCAGATAATTTTGAACAGTAATGTGTTCAAAGTAGGCAAAATTGGTTTCATTACTGCAGAAGTGAATAAAACTTATTTTTACATATCACATCATCAAGCAGGAAGATTGTGCACAGAGATGTCTGATAGAATTAGCACTGTTGAGTGCAAATCCCAGCTCTTAGGACAAATGGCCCATCTCTAGGTCTTAGCACTCACTTCTTCCAGCATCCAGCAACTTCTGTACTCCAGCTGCTGCCTAACTCTTCGTGGGCAGGATCACTTCATATTGCTCACCCAGCTGACTAAACCTCTTCTGTCTCATGGATCAGTCAAAGCAGGGAAGGTTCTCATTTGGGTGCTCACCAGCTGGAGGGAACGTACCAGGAAAATATGACCTTCCTCCAGTGGAGAACAGACCAACAAAAGGTTGCAAAGGTTACAAGCAGGAGTTGGGCAGGTTGGTGGAGGACAATCATACAAACATAGTGAGAGGAAGGAGTGAATAAGCAGTTCAGAACTGTGCTCAGCAACTGAACAGTCATGCTATAGCAGAATGTATTTTATATCAAGTCTTCAGCAGCAGTTTTTATTTACTGCAATATTAGCCTAATTAGAAAAGATCTTTTATGGCATTCCCTACTCCTCCCTTTCTGCCACAGAACTTCCTCTGCCATGTATTTTTTGTTTCCATGTTCTTGCTCATTTGGGTTGGATTTTTAATATATAAAACAGTTTGTTTTGGCTTTTTTTTTTTTTTTTTGTGAAATGTCAGTTCAACATAAAATGCTTTGCTTTTGTCTGGAGCTCAGAGTCTGAGGTGAAAGTGTCTCCTGTTTTTCTGCCTGCAGGGATTCCCATGCTGAAGATAGTATTTGCAGGTTATGAACACCTGTCCTTAATTTCTGTCCCCTTGCTCATCTATCATCCTGCTCAGATCCTTCTTGGCAGTCTGTTGGTACCAACGATAAAATCCTGGATGCTTTCTAGGCAAAAGGTAAGAATTGTTGGATTTGATTTATAATTGCAACTGTATTGTGAGGGGAAAAATACTTAAACACATGTCCTAAACTCCTGGAGTTCCTTTTATAATAGGGATTTTTCTATTTCCTTGCTTCCTCTATAAATGGTAATCATGGCAATATCAAATTAAAAGTGCAGAACTTTATCCCACTTGAAAAGGCGATTGAAAAGACTTTGGAAAAGTTCAAAGCTTGAATTTAGATCTCTATGGTTAATTCAAATTACTAATTCATTCAAATTATGAATTCAGACTATGCCCCATAAGAATGTCTCCATCCATTAGCTGACTAATAATCACAGCTTTGGATCTCCTTTATGGAGAAGTGACAAAGATGTGTTGGCTGGCATGGGAGCTGGGGAAATGAGGTAAAATAAGGACACTTTCTGAACTGGATTAAAGAGGATGAAAACTTTTTTTTCCCCTCCCCCCCCCCCCCATCTTGGGTCACCCTTTACAATAGCAAGAAGTCTACAGCAGTCTGGGGCATCCCATTTCATGCCAAAATTAAGGCATGGAATAACTTGTAAGATTATAGACTACAATCTGGAGGGTTTGGAATCAACATCACTGATTCAAATTATGTTTATTTCAGTACAAATTGAAGGTATTGACACCTGACAGCCATTCTGTGATCTATGTGAAATAATTGTAGTGGTTTTAGTCAGGTCCTCAGAATAACCACCCTGCAAAAAGCTAGTCCATGAAATCAACTTTAATGCTGTCTTTGAATGTCCTGAAATAATAAATATCAAGAAACTGCAGAAGCTGAAGCAATCTTTGGCAGCCATTTTCAGTGATGGTTGAGACCTACTCTGGGAAGCCCAGCTCCATCACTACCCTGCATTCTTCACTTAGCAGTGGAGAAATTTTATTGATAACACTCATATTTCCAATTTTCAGCAAAACCCAGTGGCTGTCATTTTACAGCTTCACACCACTGCAGTAACCTTGCTATCTTGAATGTTAAAATTCCCCAAATCAGTGGTTTTCATGTGTTACCTGAACTGTAAAAAGCAGGAAAACTCTCAGTTTTCAGAAACTATGTTCAGAAATCAGACCTTCTTAATATATACTGGTCTGAGTACCTGAAAATGAAAGTCTGAGAATCTAGTTGCAATTACCTATCAGTCTGAAAATCATTAATCAGAAATTATCAGGAGACTTTACTGGTAGTATAAAGAAAATTCCATGCTATTCCTGTAGAAAGACAGCCTAAAGTTAATGCTTCTGGTGACAGAAGAATCCCTGCAATGCTGACTTTTCTTTAGCATCTCAGAAGTGGGGCTGGAGCTCATCCAGACCTTGCTGATTCTCAGGGCAGTAATGGCCTTTAGGGGCTGCTGTCAGCTGCTGCAAGTTAAAACAGCCTTTAAACAGAGCATCAGAACAATCAATCAGTACTGGAGAGATTTACAGTTCACCAGCACTAGTTTCTTATTCATTAAGCATCAAATAAACCTCCTGTGCTAAGCAGACTGTAATGCCACTGTAGAACCACTTTGGGGGATTGTTGTTCTGTTGCAGCAGTTTCTTCAGTTGGTCTTCTGTATTATTCACAAATGTTATTTTAATTACGCTTTGAAAAAAATCAATGAGGTTGGGTCTGGTACAGTTGCAATAAGTATAATAGAAGCGAATGTTGTGACTGGATAATGGTCTCCTGCTTTGAAAATAAACATGTCATCATCACCCTTGATGTTTATTTTCTACAAACACCTTGGCTTCATTTTGGCATCTCTCTTGCAGGGGGAGGCAGTTATCCAGTCACAGTATTCAACTGCAGTGACATTCTTACTTAATTATGATAGTACATGTGATCGGGTTGTATGAAATTGAATTTAAATATTTAGAGGTTCATCTACACTAAGGTATTTCTACTTTGTAAATATGGCAGCAGAATCTGCCAAACTACAAAGTTAAAAAAATTGTTTCCCCAAACAAAGTGTGGAATGATGTCTCTCTCTCCAAAGTCTCTTGCTGAATAATATCCAAAAGACTAATCTCAAAGGGCTGGATTTAACAATAGTTAAATGCTGGTGTTTCTGAGAGGAATATAGCCCATTTATTTTTAAAGGTTTGGGGTTTTTTTAAGGGTTTACATTTGTGCTGGAGTGATTTTCAAGCAGTGCTTACAAGCTTTAAGTGTACAATATTAAAGGTTAATATCTACAATAAGAAGCCCCATCAGGCATCTCTCAGACTGCAAATTGCTTGTTTAGCCAACCTGCTGGAAACTAGAAGTGAGAAAAATGCCAGTCTGTCAGGGCTCTTCACCCAAAAGACTTCAGAAAAACAGAGGTTCCAAATTTCAAGAATTTGCTAATTTCTCTAATTTCCTCTCATCTGGGCCAATTTGTCCCACTTAAGGAGACAGAGAGCTTTTTTTGCTGCTGAGCACACCAACGGCCAGCATCCTGCCCAGTGACCACACTGCTGTACAGGAGCAGCTGAAAACCTAATGCCTTCTAAGCATTTCTCTCCTTAGTTAGAGACGCTGCTTCCTGCCAAACTGGAAGCATGAGCACTGAGTTGAACTTTTGTCACACATTGAATAAATAGCTCAGCTACCATAATTGGCCATCTCTGTGAGGAACACAGAGCTGGACCCTGCCATCAAAAAAGAAAGGGGTTTCTTTCTTCCTCAGTAACAATAGAGCTACAAAGATGTCAGGTGTCCCCTGGCATTAGATCACCTCTGGACTGATGGACTTTGGCTTATTCTTACCTTTTATCAGAAAGGAAGATATAAACATCAGAAGTGCATGACATCCACCACTGCAGCAGTGATTATCCTCTGAGCAGGCTTTGAGCCTTTCCCAGGAAGGAAGCTGGGGACACAAAAGTGCTGGCACAAATTTCCTTCGCTGTCTTTCCTTAAGTGGGTCTGAAGCTCCTTCTATCTGTGCCACGAGTGGTTTTAGTGGGGTCCAAACAATCACTGTCTTAAAGGCATCTGAGACCCATCTCTGCTTCCTTCACTGGCACTGTAGCCATAGTCCTTGTGGTTGCTGTGTTAAGGCTCTCTGTGTGAGCAGAGGTTGTGATAAGAGACAAAACCCTCATCTCAGAACCCACAGCCTGTCAGCTGCACGCTGACTCCTCTCTCAGCCTCTCAGAAGTACACGCAGTTTTTTATTGCCCCTTACAAATGTGAATCTTACCTTGTGCTGTTGCTTGTCTTTTAAGGGTATAAAAAAGTGACTGTTTTGTTTCCTGTTCACAGGCACTGAAATTAACCAGGCAGCCCAAAGCACCCGTGAAGGTATAATTGTGGAGATGGCCTGTGTCACAGTGAATGTATATATGTACTATACTGTACACACGGACAATTGACACAGCTGGGTTTTGTGAATGTTGCTTCAGTGCATATTTTATTTTTTTATATATATCTATCTATCTATATATATATATATATTAAAAGATACCTGTTAAGTGCCTTACAGATGCATTTTTGGCAAAAGCATTGTTTTCAGAAGCCACTTTGTTGGTTGCTGCCAGAGGTTGTACAGTATTTTGGAGTCCTTTAGTTTATTTTTCTAACCGAGTGAATGGTCATGACTGACAGCTGGTTCTTCCATTGCCCCTGCTTTAGAGCCAGGGTGCAGCAGCTGCAAGTCTCTGTTTTAAACTAGCCAAAATGACCAGAAGCCTATCCCACTGCTGGCTTACCCGGGGGAAGAGCTTTCTGAAGGTTTTTTCTGAGATTGACTTGAATTTCTGTGTGACTCTGTTACACTCCCTAGTCATATGACTGTGACATGCCTTTTTCTTCTGAGTTTGTGTATACTCAGCATGGGGCCATCCAATGGATAGAAGCTGAAAAGCATGAATTATTTGCATTTGTTGACACAGTTGTCTAGACATTCCTTCAAAGTTAATGGTTTCTCAAGAAAATTCTTTCAATTCCATTGTATGATATTGTGCCATTGTATATCTTAAATGCCTCATAAGCTTCTTCAAAGAAATGGTCTGGTGCTTGGGTTATGAGTGAAGTATTTGTGTTTGCAGCTAGGAGATCTTTTCATCATTTGCCCCTGAAGAACACAAATTTTTGGTTTTCTTTTTTTCTTTTCCTTCCCCCTGTGCGATGCATGGAGAATTTAGGATGCTGAAACAGAGCCTTTATTGTAGTAAGCCAAGCTATGTTTTCTCTATTGCTGCATTGGTAATGAATAGTAGCTTATGAGGACAAGAAAATTGATAATTTTTTTTTTTTTTGCGAATTAAAAGGATCCTTATAGTAACAGAAACGCTATCTTAGCTTATTTGACAATCAATCACAACTTTTTAAAAAAATAATATTACTCTTTCTAATAAACTTATATAAAAAAGGAATTCTAAATGCTATTTCTAGGCATTGAAGAGAAAGGAATGCAGGCATATATTTAAACATGCAGCCAGCACTAAATTTTGTTTGGGAGGTGAAGGTTTCAGAAACGTGCTCTAGTCCAGACTGGGAAGTGTGCCCATCTGCAAGAACGGTGCTGGCAATTGTGCATTAAAATATTAAGTAAGGAAAGGAATAGGTCAATGTGGGATCAATATAAATGCAGGGCTTCCATGTGTGTCATGGTTAACATTGCAGCTAAAGGTGTGGCTGAGTGCAAACATCTCAGAGCAAGTCTTTAGCAAATGTAGATTATTGGAGCTCTGGTAAGGCTGTAAGCCTTTGCACAAGCTGAAGATCTTCTATGTGACAATAAGCATGTGAAATTCGTATCCTTTTGCCTTATTAAGACAAAAATGTGCTTGGTTTACCTGGTCTGTTACTTCCAGTCCTGTGAACAACAGGAAAAAGTAATCTGGTACCAATCCTCGGTGCTTTACCTGATGGCCACTCCCTGTTGCCATCTATATGAGAAACTATGGGAGCTGACAGCATCACCCTGCTCAGAACTGGCACACCAATAAAGGGACCATGTGACAAAGGTATGGGAGGTGGCACATGCTGAATTCTTTCCTGCCCTGGAGGGGGATCAAGCTCTCCCTGCCGAGTAGGTGAGGAGGCTGAGGGACACTGTCCGCTGCCCATGTCCCCAGGGCTCTGCTCTCTTCCCACTGGGCAGTGAGCTCACAGTTTGATCAGTGCATCCCTAGATAGCACAGGCAAATCCACCAACAGGCCTGCAAGGAACTGGAGAGTTCCTGGGCCAAATTCAAGTTTCCACTACCTTAAGCATTCTAAGTGGTAACTGGTTCCATATGGGAAAAAAAATCCTCTGGGTTTAAAAGCCCTGCTTGCAGCAGAGGACTGCTACCAAACTCAGGACAGTTTCTTTTTGTTCTGCTTCCATAAACCTGAATTTCCAGAGACTATAGAGACTTTATTCCCAATTCCACTGATATTGATGACTCTTTCTGTTGGTTTTGAATGGTGAGACAACAGGCCCAGAGGCAGTGTTCCATTTTTAAAACATATAGCAAGAGTTCAAGCAGACAGTAGCTGACTGTGGTTGTGTCAATGCTAAATAGTCAGAACACTGCAAGTACCCTTACTGAGCTACCTCTGTGTACTGAATCTCTGCCTTTCAGTACTTCCAACAACTTAGATTCCATTGAACACATCCTTTGTTTTTTGGGGTTTTTTTCACATTTAAGAATATTTCAAACTGGTTTACAATGTAGTTTTGTTAGAGTCTTTACAAAGTCCTTGTTGATTACTTTGGGGCAGCTTAAATATTGTGTATGAGTGTTGGAGGTGTTGGTCTAAAGGGAATATCAAGCTAAACTGAAATACGTATTTTAAATCCATACTTAATGAAACTGAATTGTGTACACCAATTCTGTCAAGACTGTTAAGATGTTTGTTTTATGACTTGTTATATGTCTTTAATAAACAATGGTTTTGAATTCAATTCTGTTAACAGGAAAACAAGATAAAATTATTTATCCCCTAGGTCAGATTTTTGCCTCTGTTATCTGTTTTATTATTTTGTGGGTGAGCTTTTAAACTGTTTGCTTGTTTAAAAAAAAAAAAGCAAGCCCATTAACTGTCTGGAAATACTTCATGAACTTGGGGAAAGTCCTCAGAATACTGCTAGTTGTCACCCATTGAAAACTAATGCACTGAACTTAACCAGGTTTTCAGTAAAGACTTAGAGCACTTGTGAATCTTTTCAACTTCATGTCTTTAAATTTAACTGATATTAAACATAATCAGATAAAACTAATGGCAAATGAGAACTTTGCCCATGTTACAACATGAAGATTTCCTTGATCATCAACACTTCCTATTTCTGCATCTCTCTAATCCCATCCAATGATAGCAGAGGGAAAAGAACTCACCCAAACAATAGAACAGCACTTCAGAGGTCACAGGCAATGTTAGGACTTTGTGTTGAATTACTCAAATGTTTTATTTCCCTTTTTGTGCATTACATTGAAAAGCTTTTGATGACTCCAGTAACTTATCAAGAGAAACAATTTTAATGTAGTTAAAATCAAAGATGTGGTTGTGTTTTTTCTCGTTGATCCTTTTGTAAGTGTGAACAGGTTATGTGGTAGAAAGGCAATCTCAGCAGAAGCTGTGCAGTTGTGCTTGTTCATGGAGCAGAAGGAGCCTGGTTTTACAGAAGTAGTCCCCTACATTACTCTGGCAGTCAGGGAAAAAGGAGCTGTTAGTTTTATTTGTGTACATTTTTCTGTGGCAATATCCTGACAGCGGGAGGTTAGAAGGCAAGATGAAATATGGTCTGTCTGCAAGCACATTGATTTATGTGCGAGTGCATACGTGCATAAGAGATGAGCAGTTATATATGTAGAAATTACTAGAAAGGGCCAAGTCCCTGGGATACAATTTTTTTTTTGCAAGACTGCATATGGAGAAAGAGCTACTTTTTTGATGTTATTCTGCCATTAAAAATGAAATTTCAGACACTGAATTGTGTTTTGTATTGAATCATAATCTTATACAGAACCCTTACAGCAGACAATCGCAGCTTTGTATTTGTAAACTGTAGACTGTTTTGCACTTAAATAGATGTTGATGCATTTGGGAATTACAACACAGTAAAGGGCTAAATCATAGTTTCTCCATTTGGTTATAATCCAAATGCATTTATATTACTATTATTATAAAGTGCCAGGAACACAGGCAGTCCCTCGCAAACACGTTAAATAGACAAGAGACTAAATTCTGCCCTTGGTTACACTTGCACATCTCCAGTGCAAGGTTGTTAAGCTGCAGAGCAGTCTCCCCAGGGAAGCTGTTTGAAGAGCCCTGCCATCATTCTAACAAAGCTCAGGGATAATGTAGCACATGATGAGAGTAAATGAAGAGCATTTTACTTTAGATTTGATGGCCTGCCCCTTCTAGCATCTTGTAAACCAAATCTCTTTTGTCCCTATTTCCATGGGGTAGCCCCAGTCTCCCAGACCAAAACTTAGAGCATCCTGTCAGAGCAATATCAGGAGAAGGATGTGCTCTCCTCTTTACCATTTTCTTGCTTCAACCACACTATTGCTCATGATCATTAGACTGTGGCTTCTACGAGGAAGCATTTTGACTTTAATTCCTCCAAGCTGAGGTGTCCCATTCCTGTAAAATTCTCATTCAACAGAGAGCACCCTGTGGGATGGTAAGGAATCTTCTGGAGTTGCATGGACAAGCTGTGCAGGACTAGAGAAAGCAATACTCAGAAATGCAGGTTGGAGGCATTGCTCCAGGCAAGTCTGCTTTGTGCTAGCATCTAAAGCTGCAGCAGAGGTCATGAAAGCAGCCTCTGGATTGTTCCTCTTGCCAGAAAGGTGGAGAGTGAGATCTTCAGTGAGAAGTGAAATTAAATTTATTAGTGATTAAAGGGACAAGAGAGATGTGTTGGAAGCAAGGAATGCCAATGAGGCCTCTCGGCTGCTCCCCTAAGCAAATTGTAGTCTCGGTGGAGCATCAGCTTCTCAGTCCATCAAATTGCAGTAATCAAGTCTGGAGCTGATGGCAGCATGAGTCACCACTTAATTTTCTCATCAGTGGAGACCGAGTTTTCAAAATATTTTTAGATGCATTTCCACAGAGATTTCTGCCAGCCAGTGACCTATAGAGTGACAAGCAAATGAGCAATAGCTGCTGATGAATCAGGCTTTGCTCCCTGGCACCTACCCTTCTGACCATGGTCAGGGGCAGGGAGGGCAGGTAAACCAAAGGCTTTTGGAATTATTATGCAGAAAAGAGCCCTGCTGAGCTGATAGAAACACCTGGATTTGTTAAATAACGAAATAACCACTGAATTCTTAGGCTGCCTGGTAGGTTCAGATAAACTTTGACTGTTGCTAGCCCTAGCCAGAAGCAGGTGTGAGATTAGGAGCTGACTGTGATCTGTGCTCCAAGGCACAAGCTTGTACCCAGCAGCTGCAGCAGCCCATGGAAGAGGCCACACATCTCCTAAGGATCCCATGCTGGTGCATCTCATCCACTCTTTGTGCTCCAAACTGCCACTGGCACAACCATTTGTCACTCAGGTAAGAAAAAGGGAAAAAAAGCCCCTGGTGGCATCCTGTGTGGGTGGGCTACATCTAGTATAGTAGTCACAAAATCAAAGACTTGCAGATGTTGGCATGCTGGTACTGGTTCATCTCTGTAAGGGAAAACTTGCTATTCATGGTCAGTTCTCTTATGAAATAATTCCAACTTCTAAGGGAAATCAGCTGCCTTGAAAGGGAAGAAAATGGGCTTCCTTAAAGACAATTTTATTGATAAGATTAAAAAATTATGGAGGTCATGTGAGAACTGGCCTTCTGCCAGGAGAAATGCAGGAAATAAAATTTGAGAGTCCTGTGACAATAATTGGGTATGAAATTCTATTGACAAAAGCTTTTGCAGTTCTATGCTCCCTCTGTTCCTTAGCATTGTGACTGCAGTCCTCCCCTATTTCAATCCTTTGTCTGCTGCACAGCCCATACCCAAGATGTCAAAAATTGTTTTATTTCCTGGTGCCTTCCCTGTGTAGTTTTGCCACTTCTTGTCAACACTGTTTGATGAAGTGATAAAATGTCTTTTTCCCCGTTTTGGGGTTTTTTTTGTTGTTTTGTTGTTGTTGTTTTGGTTTTTTGTTGTTGTTTTGGGGTTTTTTTAGCTTCTCCCAGTTAGCTGTCCCTAACTGAACCTGGTGTCATCACCAAGATGATGCTCTCTTCTCCAAGCTCTCTGAGAGACCCTGTCCTGTAGCCAAGAAACCAGGGCAGCCTTCCAAGATGATGCCTGGGGAAGCAGAACTCAGCTTTTTGTACTGACAGTGAACAACTTAACCCATGCAAATTACAGTTCTTGTGTTCTTTGTTGGGACTCGCAGCTCCCCTGGAAGGGAACATCCACATGATGCAGACCTAAAGTTCAGTGCTGGATCCATTAGAGTCACTGTCAGTCCTTTGGGCAATCCCATACTGCTGTTGACATATTTTGGCAAGTTCTCCAGCAAATTCTCACTTGTTCTGTTTCATAATATTGCTTCAGATTAGAGAAATGTTGGGAGGACCTCTATTTTTCTTTATAAAAATTACAAAGAAACCTTTTTTGATCTATTTTAGGTCTCTGTTTGTTGGAAAAATTAACTGTAATTTCCCAGAAGTGGCTCAGGACTACTATATTTGCCTCACATATTCACTCTGCTCCTTCCCCAAAACATACAATCTTTCAGGTACCTCACATCGAGTTGCATAAAGCCCTTTTTTAGAAAACAGCTACAACATCTGTTTATCTGGTCCAATTCCCTGATAAATAAAATATATCCCAGAGGCATAATAGCGTGCTAAAAATAAGAGTATGACACAATTTGAGCCAGCTAATCTGGTAACTCTCTTTGCTGCAGCTCACGGAGTGTTAATGTGAGAAGCCTGGATCTTTCCAGCTCGGCTGTCTGTGAGCATCACGCATGGATCTCTCCCAGAGCCAGAGCCAAATCCCACAGTACTATGCCATCCTGTGCTCACAAACTTCCTCCCTCTGGCCTCTCCTGGTGTAAAACCATAGGGGAATTGTGATAGGTGAGATTTTGTGTGAGTCAGGGATCAGAACAGACGCGCTGCACTCAGCAGAGCCCGACTCGTATCGTGTTTGCAATCCGGTAACGCCTATTTGTGACACAAAACACCAACATGTAACCTCTCTGATTATAAAAGGCATAAAGAGCTACACTATCACCTATCAATGTCCCAAATAATATCATTTTAATTATCTATCAGGGCAATATAAAAAACCCAACAAAATTCAAATCTTGCTGGTATCAGTTTTTCAGACAATTTTTTGGTAGTTTTTTTGGTTTGTTTTAAAGTAGGGTGTGTAATACATATAGAAAAACTCCTCCATGTATCATGTATCATGATGTATATTAAATCATTATCCTCTATGTTCTATAATTTGATCACATATTTTTAGGAATATATTTTGCTTATCTAATTCTCCACTTTCACCAGCAAACTCCCTCTGCTAATTAATCCCGTTTGAATTTTTGTATTTCAATTGCATCTGAGCCTTGAATTTTGGTATCTGTATAAATATGCTCCAGTGTATGGCAAGCAGCAGCTTCCTATGTTTAAAAAATAAATTTATTGAGAAATTTCATTATCTTTTAATACTGAAAATAAAAATAAAATTTCGTCTTTTAGGATGGCACAGTGATATTCTATGAACAGCTGCTACTTTGAATGTGTTTTAATTTTTTTTTCCAGAATCCTCAATTTAGGAGCTTATTCTCTAAGTAACAAAATATTTTCTCTGAACAATCCCAGAAGCGTAATACATTAGTAGAAGGAAAAGAGTATTTATGGCCAATAATTCAGCTGTTATAAATTATGACTATAAAGAAAGAGAAAAGGGTTCCTTTTTAAAACTTGCTGCCAGATTCTGTACAGCAATGCTGGGTAAGGTAAGTAATGTTCTTTTGATTAACAGTCCAGTCTTGAGTAGATTTCATTTAAAGAAGACTTTATTAAGCATTTCTCTCAAACTCATCTTTTTTGTTCTATTTTGAACAGACTTCCATCTGAAGAAAACTCTTAGTGACTTTTTAGCCTACATTAAATTCCCACTGACAAACAGATGAGAATTATTATTAATTTTCTTCAGAAAGAACTAATAGGCTTTGCCAAATAAATCATGCAGATCCTAAATGTGCTATTCATCTCTTCAGCAGATGGCTTAAAAGCTATGATAGTTGCCCTTTAAAAATCAAAAGTCAAGTGAGACCTTTGACTTGAAGTGAAAAATTTGGACTGACGGTTGTCCTGGGCCTTATTATTGTTTGGGTTTTTGCAGTTTGGAAAATGAGAGAGCTGGCAGACATGGATTCTTGGTAAGAGTGGTTTCTTAGTTTCTTGGGAATTTGACCACCCATGGAGAGTGGAGGTAACTGGTTTATGTTAATGAATGGCTCAGTTATTTATCCCTCTCCAGTATTATGGAGCAGCCCAAGTGTCCTGAGAAGCCAGAGCTGACAGTGGAGTTGAACATCTTCAACTTGGACACCTTTTGTGTCTGTCTGTCTGTGTGTCACACATAGCCCAGGACCCTGAAATATTCCAGCATCTTCCACTGTTTCAGTTCCCTCTGTTCTGGAAGTTAGAGATACTTTGTGCTCCTCTTATCTTTCAAGAATACACTGTAGGTAATTATTATGTTCACCTAATTAACTTTTTGTTGATTTAAGCTTATTTGATGCAGTCACTGATGCTTCTGGAGCACACATTCCATCATCTCTTTGATTTTTTCCTAATTAATGGAAGAGTCTGATCACTCACTTCCAACTAGTTTTTAAGTACCCTTGATTTTTTTTTTTTATTGTGTTTTGGGAATTGATTTAGAGTTGAAACATGTCTCAACTAATTGAAAGACATAATACCACTAAACTGTATGAATTAACAAATACTAATATGTACTTAACATCTGTCCTAGATACCAGTGTTTGTACCCATACACAGAGGATGCTGCTACAGGCTGAAAGTAGAAGACAGGAACAATGTAGTTTATCCAAAGACTGAAGACTGTATTTCTCTAGTAAATTTAAAATCAGCATGAGACATATATCCCATTCAGATATTCATCTGTTCAGCATCTTTACTAAAAAAACTTTCTAGATGACACTTATGGCAGCAGAAGTTGTGGTTCTAGCTGACATTACTCAGTTAAAATTGTATGAGATTTATCCAAATGCTGATGGCCATATCCATCTTAAAGGAAAAAAAACCAACCAACAAAAAAAAACCAAANCCACAACCCAAAAGCAACCAAACAAAAAAATCCCCCAAAACAACAACAAAGAAACACCAACATAGTTTTCATTTCTCCTGTTTGTCACTAAAATGATGTATTATAAATTTACCAAGTCATGAAAACCAGCATCATTTCATATTCTGGGCACACCATTAATTTTCACAGGCAAATATGTGTTTAGAATCCCTGTCTAAATTAGGTCTGTTTGAACATTGAATGCAGTTATTTTTCAGTATTTTCCATGCATGAAGTTTAGCTACCTTGTTGTATCAAAAATCTAGCTGTACTGGCAAACTAACAATTTTTTTAAAAAAGCTGGAAGAGGAAAAGTGGAAGGAAAAAACCCATGTGTGACCTCTGGTGGTTTTAAGACTTACTCAGAATATTGTACCTTCATCAATGATTAAATGACTCTCCCTTTTAAAATGCATTGAGCCCTCATTTTTATGTGGATGGATATTACTACACCAGAAATTCAACCTCTCACTGAGCATAAAGGTGATCATAAGAATGGGAAAACAACTCAGATAAGTAAAACCAATGCAGATGCAAACCTTTTGCCAACTCCTTGGAAAAGATTGACAGTCTGAAGACGTGTAAACACATGTGGGCTACATTTCCCAAAATAAGAAATTATGGCAGATGCTCAGCTGGCACTGACACATCAGGTAGCCATCACTCTGGGAGGACAGGTACTTTCTGAAAACCAAGAACTTTTAACAACATTGAAAAGAAACACCGAGGTGTCCAAAATTTTTATTTGGTTTGCAAACACAGATTTTGACTCTTTTTCAAGCTTCTAATTTTTTTTTTCTTTGTATCTGTCTTTTCCTTGCTCTGTCTGAAAACACAAAAAGGGGTAGAAAGCACTATGGAGCTAGAATAATATGTGTATATACACATATTAATTGTATACATCTGTATCAGTCAGCAGGTTAATTTTTAGATGCCATTTTGATTACATCTTTTCTCTTTTGTTTGTTTGGTTAAGGATCTTCAGGAGGTTTTCAGAATATGCGGGTTGGGATGGAAAGCAAAGCCAGATTTTATCAGATATATCTCAATGCTTCTTAATACCATGTATTTTCATCAGTGTTTTCTCTATGCTTTGTTGTTTGTAGGCAGCACTTAACACTTTACAGTCCTTCAGAGAGAGTGCTGACTGTGGCTGAGAAGTCATCCTGGAGAACAGGATCACAGGTATTTTCCATTTTAGATACACAGGCCCGAATACCATACATACATGACCAAACTGACTTTTACTTAAGTACTATATAATAGGAAAAGTCAGTCAAATTGTCATATTTTAAAGAATGAAAGCAAAATTGTCTGTCTTGTTGACAAATGCATCTGCACTTCCCTGTGCCCCAGGGCCTGCACACCCTCATCCCACAAGCAGGTGCCTACAAAAAAGCTGGAGAGGGATTTTTTATAAGGGCAAATAGTGGTAGAACAAGAGGGAATGGTTTCAAAGTGAGGGAGCAGGTTTAGAATAGATATGAGGAAAAAATTCTCGACTGTGAGGGTGGTGAGGCCACAGGCACAGGTTGCGCAGAGAAGCCGTGGTTGCCCCATCCCTGGAAATGTTCAAGGCCCAGTTGGATGGGGCTCTGGGCAGCCTGGTCTGGTGTGACATGTCCCTGCCCATGGCAGGGGTTGGGATTGGGTGGTTGTTAAGGTCCACTCTGACCCAAACCATTCTACGGTTCCATGTTGCTCCCTGTGCTCGAGGCTGCAGAGAACACGGAACCGGCTGCTCTGTGACATCAGCCCAGGGCTGAGGGCGCCGCGGGCACTGTGGCTGTGCTGGTGCACGGAGGCTTCGCTCTCGCAGCTGACACGAGCCACGGGCAGCAATGCTGCTGCTCTTCCTCCTCGTCCTGCTGGCCACATGCAGGCCTGTGCAGGCCATGTGGAACACGTGCGAGTAAGTGGCCCCAGGCTCTGGGAGGGAGCTTGGGCAGCACTTCAGAGAGGGCCCACTTGTCCTCTGTGGCCAGGCCACAGCATGGGGAAACCTCAGTTCCCTGTGGAGAGGCGCACACCCCGTGGCCTTCTCCCGTCTGCTGTCCCTGCACACCTTGTGGAGAGCTTCTGCTGGAGCAGCAGCAAGCCACAGAGCAGGATGGAAATGACTTTCTACTTGCAGAGGGAGCTGTGGGATCCGGCCCTTGACTTCTGATGATGAGCGAGGCATGACACGCGTCGTGGGTGGCAAAAGTGCTGAGGAAGGGGCCTGGCCCTGGCTTGTCAGCATCCAAGATCCCTCAGTTTCAGACACGGGACATCTGTGTGGAGGGTCCCTCATCAGCGTACAGTGGGTCCTTACAGCAGCCCACTGCTTTGCCGAGTCCAGGTAAGGAGGAGCAGGAAACAGGGATATCCTCACAACATCAGCAGGTGCTCTGTTAGCAGTGCCATATGCTTCTCCCATCCCGTTTCTTTGCAGTGTGCCCAGTGCCTGGGCAATGCAGAGCCCAACTGAGAAATTGCTCAGGAGAAGGCTGGGCACATGCCACTACTTCCTAGCAGGCTCCAGCTGACATTCCCAGAGCCTGAGGCACGCTAGAGCAGTCACCGCCTCCACAGTGCTGCTTTCCTCTGCCTTGAGAAGCAGAAGGCTGGTCACTGCTGAGCTGCCACAGCTCCAGGCTCTGCTCCCCCTCACCCCTCTCTCCATGTGCCTTCAGGAACATCAGTGCCATGCGCCTGCTGATCGGGGCAACCCAGCTGTCCGAGCCGGGCCCTGAGGCTGAGGTGCGCCTGATCAAGCGGCTGCTGGTTCACCAGGAATACAGTCCTGCCGACCAGAGCAATGACATTGCGCTGCTGGAACTGAACGAGCCTGTCCAGTGCAGCCCCTACGTCCAGCCGGTCTGTGTGCCCAACGGCACGCTGAGCGTGGGACAGCTGGACACCTGCTATGTCGCTGGCTGGGGTGCCACCACTGCAAGATGTGAGTTTCCAAAAATGGAGGGCAAGCTCGATACACTGGGAGGACAGGTTGGGCTTCCTGACAGCAGAGTCAGGCTGCACATTCCCTAAAGTTAGACAGCAAGGACAGAGAGCTCCAGCACCTCTGCAGAGCAAAGCCAAGCCCTAGGGAAGGGAATCACCCCCAGATGGGGAAAGTGGCAGCAGGCTGCCAGGTCCTCATTCCTTTCTATGCTCACAGCTCAAACATCAAGTGATGTCCTACAGGAGGCCAAGGTCCACCTTATCAGTGTCCAGATCTGCAACAGCAGCGAGTGGTACGGTGGGAGCATCCACACCCACAACTTGTGTGCTGGCTACCCGGAAGGTGGCATTGACACCTGCCAGGTAGGAGAGTGTGACAAGTTACTCAGCCTCCAGCAGCGCAGGCAGCACCGCCCCAACACAGCCCAGCCCCTGCTTTCCCTGGCCAGTCGCTCACTCAGCCCTGGCTCCCCACCTTTGCTGGGGCTTCCTACCCATTCCCCATCTGCAGGGCCTAGCCCAGGGCCTCCCTTGTACCAGAGGCCTGGCACTCTGCCCAGAAAGCCCTGCTAGTGCTCTTGGCAGCCCAGAGGTCCAGATGCCAATGCTGGAACATCTGTCCTCTGCACATCCAGGATCACTGTCCAGAGCCAAGAGACAGCCTGACTTCATAGACCCCCAACCCACTCCCAGCTAAGCGTCTGGAGGCTCCAGCACCTGAGCAGAGGCTTGCTCTGCTGGGAATACAGCTCTGGCAGGGGCTGTGAGAGAGAAGGAGGCAGCCTCAGTGCTGACAAGGGCCACCCAACACCACCTTAACTCTCTCTGCTCTGCTACAGGGTGACAGCGGGGGTCCACTCATGTGCCAGGACAACAACGCTGACTTCTTTTGGGTCGTCGGTGTGACTAGCTGGGGAAGAGGCTGCGCCAGAGCAAAACGTCCTGGAGTATACACTTCTGTTCAGCACTTCTATGAGTGGATTCTGATCCAGATGGAACTGCTTCCACAAGTACAGGATTCTCAAGCATCAGAAGGCTGGGTTCATATGAATGTTCCATGGCCCACTCTTAGGCCATGGTCAACAGTACTCCCCACTCTTAAGCCATGGCCAAGACCACCTCCCACTCTTAAGCCATTGCCAACAGTGTTCCCTACTTTCAAGCCATTGCCAACAGTGTTCCCTACTCTCAAGCCATTGCCAACAGCGTTCCCCACTTTCAAGCCATTGCCAACAGCGTTCCCCACTCACAAGCCATTGCCGACAGCATTCCCCACTCACAAGCCATTGCCGACAGTATTCCCCACTTTCAAGCCATTGCCAACAGCATTCCCCACTCACAAGCCATTGCCGACAGCATTCCCCACTAATAATCCATGGACAGCAACACTGCCCACTCAGAAGCCAAGTTCGATGCCAACACCAGTGGAAGAGAATAACAGCTGCCCATTTCCACTCAAGAAGCTGATGGAATTCTTCACTAAGGTCCAGGAGCTCCTGAAGAACCTACTGGGAAATACAATTTGAGCAGGAGAATGGACAGGATCCAGTGCAGGTTCCATGGGACCATGACCGTTTCCTGCTGAGGCAATGCCTGCTGATCCAAAGGCTGTCTCAGTGCCAAAGGCCTGCTCTATCCTGCCCACATTGCTTCTCTGCATGTATGCAAATGCTGACAGACTTAGTTGCTGAAATAAAGTTGCCTATGTTTGCTGTTAACCGTGCTTTCAGTCCAATTTGGTCTCCTGAGCAAGGCAAGGACTTCCTTGCCCAGGACCTGCAAAATGAAGCTGCACCAGACCACTTGGGCACAAAGGGAATCACTCCAAAAGGCTGAAATTGTGGCTGATCAGAGAGGAGAGTGCTCAGAACCACCAGAGAATGGAGAAGACTGGCCCATCAAGGCTAGGAAGAGGACAGGAGAAGACAATGCCACATGCAGACACCTTGGGGGGGAGCACACTGAGGCACACAGGTTGGTGACTAGAGCCTGGTAAAAGCCTTAGCTAACGGAGCAGGACCTGGGAAGCTCCTGAGCATAACAAGCAAAATTGCTGACTGTCACAAAGACAGGGAGAAGCTGACAGGAGCTACAGTGCCCTAAAAGGAAGAGCAAGATTTCACAGGTAGCAAAGGGACATTGATGTGTGAGGTGGCCATACTTCAGTGAAGTTTGAAGGAAGAGTTGTAGTCATTCTGGGGAGAAGGACCTGGTAGGAGCAGAAGGACCCAGGAAATGGTATCTGTAATGCCATGGAAAGCCGAGGTGAGCTAGTTAATAGCACCTGCAACACCAAGTCTGTTCACAGGTGGGACAAAGCTTGGATTTAGGGGGAAAAGATAGCAGGGAGGAGAGAAGGGCAGAGACAGAGAGGAGTTGAGGAAGATCAGGGGGATGTGTAAGCATGGCAGATAAGTAGAAGGGAGGATCAAGGAGCCAGTCTCACAGACACAAGCTATGCCCTTGGCCTCACATTCCAGGTACCTCAACTGCCCTTGTCAGTGTGGGCCCAGAACAGCAGTAGCCCTCATAGACATCAAGGACACGGAGCCTCCTGAGAGGGTGTTGCTGTGTCTGACGTGGCCAGCATGGACTGTGCTGCATCCATGTTTCCCGTGCTTTGCATGGGAAGGATGACACTGCTTGAGTATCTGGCATATTTGGCTTTTGTTGCACATATAGGGTGTTTTCCTGCAAGCTGTTAGCAGGAAGTTCAGCGAGCCCCTGCAAACAGAGGGGCTAAAATAAAACTGGAGAGGGCTTTTTTTACAAGGGCAAGTAGTAATCGGACAAGGAGGAATGGCTTTAAAATGAAGGTAGATTTAGAATAGATATTAGGAAGAAATTCTTCTCAACCAGAGGAACTCCGTGACTTCAAAGTTGCATTCAAAGCAAATGTCACAACCATCTCCTCCTCAGAGATGGAAAAAGCCTGTCACAGTCATTACCGTGACACAAGCACCTACCAGCAGCTTCCAACTGCTCATTCAAATGCCAAGTGACAGGCAGATGTTTCCAATAAGAAATACAGCCCTCTCGGAGCCTTTGGTTGCATCACCCACCAGGACAGCATTGCCTCAGCCTTCTCTGGCCAGGGCTGTGACCTGCTGGAGTCACTTGAGCTCAGCCGAGCTCAGCTCTGACCATGGGCCCCAGACAGACCACGTGGCACAGCTGGAACTGGAGAGAGCTTTGCTTTTTCTTGTCATAAACGTTTTCGTTAGTAGGAAGCTGTCAGGAGAAGGGGACATAAGACAATTTACACCCCGCCTATTGTTTTCCCAGCAGCATTTGTGTAGCGGATTTCTGGAAGAAAAAAATCTACAAACGGCAGTTGGGAATTTGAAATAGCACTGGGGACAACTGTGCATGCTCTGAAGCGGCTTGATAATTAAGACAGAGTATAAACCATGTAAGTTGGAATGTCACTGACAAGGATTACAAACCCTCCCTCCGCCCGAGCGCTCCCGCCGCGCCGGGACCGGCCCGGAGCGCGGGGCCGCCATCGCCGGGACAACGCTGCCCCCTGGCGGCGGCCGGCGGGAGCACCCGCGATTGTGATGGATCCCGCGGCGTGGGCCCGCACGGACCTGCCCGGGAGCCAAGGTACTGCACGATTCCTGCCCGGAGCCGTGCGGGCATAGACCGCTGCAGGCAGCCGCTGCCTCTGACACGTCGCGTTGGTGCTGTCTTAGACACTGGCAATTACTGTTGACACCTCACTTCGACTGGGTTAAATATTTTCCCACTCCGGGTCCTGTGTTTGCACAGGAAGGATCAGCAAGTCACGTCTGCTGCCATTCCCTCTGCAGCAGCTGCCCGATGTCCTTGGTACCTGGCCGTCAGTTCTTAATGTACATCAACATGTGCTGATATACAGCCAGGCTGATCTTTGACTCACCTTTGGAACAGCGACACATTTTCTCAACAACAAATTATACTTTGACATTAGAAGGTGGCAATCTGTAATGGATATTGCAATCTGAAGATTGAAAGAGACTATCTGTGATCTTTGTCCTCAACCGAGTAAGCTGGAGTCTCTGTTTCCTCCTACACATTATTTGATTGTGGGACATAACCTTGGGATGTACTAATAATCATTAGTCAGAGCTGATGTATCCGTTACGGGCCTGCCCTGCTCGGGGAGGGAGACGTTCTCTAGAACAGTAGTAAATCAGCAAAACATGCACTTAAATATACAGTAAAATGTGGTTTGAGACACGGTCCTTCATACATCATGTAGCGAAATGTTTTATTGAGAGAGTCACACACGCACTAATGAGGAAAGAGGGCTGCAGAGACATTACCTGTGAAGGGGAAGCGGTTCAGTGGCAGGAAGGGGCTGGGAGATCTCTGAGCAGCTCCTGGCCCAGGAGAAGTTGTGACTCCCCAAGTCCTTCTCTGCCCTCTCGTAGCTTTAGACAACCTGGCAGGAGAGAGAAGGGAAGGCAAAGGAAGGAAGGGAGTCTTGTAGAGCTGTCCAGACACAATGAGCCTTAAGGGCCTGGCAGGGGCAGTGAAAGGGTCCAGCTTGCCAGGAGGAGTGAGGGGTTTGTTCTGCTACTTTGTCATTTGTTTTTGCTGCTAAGCAGCTGTCTTTTTGGAGTTGAATGTTGCAGGCGTTGTTAAAGCATTGTCTCCTTTTCTTTTTTACAGGCATTTGTCATTATTATTTAAATCTGAGTGAATAAATAACACATGCATCTGCTGAATGTTTTACTCCCTGGGTTCCTGACCTTGCTGTTTTGCCTTCCTTGGTTTCTGTGGTCCTGAGTAGTTGCAAAAACTGTGCCAAAAGGGCTGGCCAAGCCAGACAGTCAGATCTCACAAATGCCTGGGGCCGCATCCCTCACTAATCTGGGAGAGCTCGAACATCCATGCTGGCCATGATTGCTGGGTCCACAGGGCCCTGGGGCTGCTCCTGCGAGTCTTGTCACCCTTTTTGGAGCTGGCCAAATTGGTGAATGTCTGGGTTTTTTTACTTACAAGTGACAATTCAACCAATGCAGAAAATGTCTGTGATGTCTAAGCTTTGGATCAGCTCTCTTGCTTAATGCAACCTCTCCACATTTTTTTATTTCTAAATATCTTTTTTTCTTGAGTTAAGATACCTCAAGCATTGCAATAGCCATAGACATTTTTACTGCCAGGACTATGATGCCTGTTTGGCTGGTGGGGAGATAGGCTCGGGATAGGTGTGCATTAGCTGCTTTCAGTACTTCTGACCCCAAACCATGTCACTTTGCTGAGGGATGACAGCCTGACGTGGGCCACAGGTGCTGCAGGCTGAGCCACCCTGAGGGAACTGAGATCCCCAGTCCCAACAGAACTTCTGTGACTAGCCCAGGCATGCACCTAGTGAGGGAACAAGACAAGTCTTTCACTTGTCTCTCCAGTAAATATTAGAATAAGGCAAGTCAGTTAAGAATGGGGAAGTTTGAATGGTTTGCCTTTTAATAAATTGACCAGTGCTTGTGTTTTTAACGGACTTAAGAAGAGATAAGACCTCCATTCCTCCTGTCATGGCAACTGTAACAAAAGGAACATCATTTGGAAGTCAAGAAAAAAACACAGGCACTTTAGGTCTCAGCCAAGAGAGCTGCAAAGTAGCAAAATTCATTACTAATTCAGAGGAGCTGTATCCCTCAGAGCTCACTATTACTGTTCTTACTACTAATAATACTGGAGCACATCAATTTAGCAGAAGACAGAGTTTGGCAGAAGAAGGCAGAGTAGTGTGCCACTCTCCCAGTCAAACACCACCATGAGGCCTTTCCTTGCTCTAGTCAGCCTAGAAAGAAGCAGTGCTGGGCTGTGGGCAAAGAGCTGAGGAGAGGAAGGTTCTGGCTTTATAGCCAGAGCAGTCTGATAACATTAATCCCAGGGAGACAGTGAAAGAGGCCATAGGTATTTGTAATTTATTCATAAACAGCTATGCCATCATAAGAAACTTTTTAAAATAATATGTGATAGTTCTTTAAATATTTAAGAGTTTGTTGACCTATTTTCTCAGTTAATTAGGATTTTTTTTTGGCTGCATTAACAATGACTTAAATGCAGTCTGTTTTAGTCACTACACAGTTCAGCTACACTGGCTTACAGAAACATGATTTCTTTCTAAGGCACACGACACCAGAGAGGAATGCCATTGTAAGTATCTAGATGTATGCTTAAAAACCTGGAGACTTACTAGTAGGTAGGGCATCAGCTCAATTAGTAAATATAAAACCATTTACCTGGCATCCTTCTGAGTCCTAAACCAAACTTTGTCTTTTCAATTACAGCACTACCCTTGTTTTTTCTGCAGCAAAGGGCTACAGTGCAGTTGCCCTTCTCTTTGAAGTGCAATGGTTAAGAGCATCAAGCTCATCTCTGCAAGCTGCATTTGTGAGTACACTTCTTTTCTTACTCATTTATTTTGCCCAGGGCTCACTGGGCCTAGAAGTGAAGTTGATAAAAATTTGTCCATGTGTGCAACACAAATGTCACTGATCACAGTGCAGCAGTATAGTCAGAATCCAGCTCT